CCATATTTACGGACAAGCTTTAGCAGATCGTCCCCCAGACACTCTCGTTAAAAACATAAAATACCTCTATAGACGTCTTTGGCAGCCAATGAGTTAAACATTGCAACCAAACAGGTGGCCGAAGTCCAAGTACATAAGGCTTGTAGCCATGGGCTAATTTTCAGCCTTCGTCCCTGGTTAGGCTTTTAAAAGGTGTTAGCAATAAGGGGGAGGGACAACACACAGATGAATAAGAAACAAGAGAAGTTAAAATAAAAATAAAAATGTACAGTACAAGCCAGTTTAGTGCTCACACTCTCTATTGTCTTTGAGCCATTTTTTCAATCTTGTGGAGAAAAGTGGAACATCAGTCTGTGACTTAAGAGTTCCAGAGATGTGATGCTTTCACTGACCTATAGATGTGATGCTTTCACTGACCTATAGATGTGATGCTTTCACTGACCCGTAGACGTACGACATCTTTTAATCCTGCAGTTCCCACTAGCTCCAGCTCTGGTCCTGATTCCTTCATTTGCATACTTTAAAACAAATGTACAGATTACTTCAGGGGCAAGACCATTAAGGCATTTAAAAATAGCTTTTAAAAATGAGACATTTATAAAATTTTCAAATGTCATCATGTTGTATTTTTTAATAATTTTGCAGTGATGCCACTTCACCGGTTTTTGATCGAATATTTTTTTTTTTCTATTATTTATTTATTATGGAAGAAAAACATAATAGTAATTTACAAACAGTATAGAATCTGTTCCATGTTTTCCGGGAGATCGGATTTGTTTTTACATATAGTACCCAATATCTGTCATTTGTAGTGGTCAAAGAAATAACTCATTAACACACATGCACACAAAAACACAGATGGAAAAAAAAAGTTCGAATATTTTTAGTGCTTGCTTGTGAAGTGAGAGTAAAGGTTTTAAAACAGACTTTGTGGCCTGGGCCCAAACGATGGAACAATAAGACACATGGCATAAAATCATTGCATGTAAATATACTTGTGCAGTTTGATTTGATACACATTTTCAGACTTGTTCATGATGTGAGCTGGACTCCATCACCGGTTTGGTTTCTAATCCCTCTGGACAGAGTTTCTGATGGCAGCCAGGGCTGGAGGGTGGAGGGTTTTTCTGTTTGGCTTTTCCAGATGATTATGTATGGCTGGCTTCATCAAACACACGTCAAACAGGACCGAGGGAAACGGCCAGGATAAGAATTACCTGAAAATTAGAGAAGAGGGGGCCGTTATCCGCGTGAAACTGAAAGTTTGTAGCTTTGTGGACGTTTAATCAGAGATGTTTAAAGTACTGGAGTAGAAGTACAAGTACTATATAAAAAACTTACTTGAGTAAAAGTAGAAGTGTTCTTTCAACACCATACTTAAGTGGAAGTACGGAAGTACTCAATTTTTTTGTATTAAGTATTGCAAGTAGAAGAATTTAAAAAATTGCTACTCAAGTATTGAAAGGACAAGTATAAGTGAAAGTACAAGTACTACTGTTTATATTTAAAAAAGGCAGTAAAAAGTGTGATAGATGTTGTTTATATTATTTCAAACGTGTGAAAGGCCATACAGGTGTTTACAAAAACAGAAAACTACATCTGCATTAGCATCAACAGCACTTCATCTACTATTATTTATTATTCCAGAGTCAGAATCCTGAGCTGAGCCTTTATGCTAGCATGTAGCATACAGCTAGCCAGCTAGGTTAGCTTTAGCTAACGTTATCATACAGCTAGCCAGCTAGGTTAGCTTTAGCTAACGTTATCATACAGCTAGCCAGCTAGGTTAGCTTTAGCTAACGTTATCATACAGCTAGCCAGCTAGCTTAGCTTTAGCTAACGTTATCATACAGCTAGCCAGCTAGCTTAGCTTTAGCTAACGTTATCATACAGCTAGCCAGCTAG